GGGTCACTCAGGGGTCACTCAGGGGTCACTCAGGGTCACTCAGGGGTCACTCAGGGGTCACTCAGGGTCACTTGGGTCACTCAGGGTCACTCAGGGTCACTCAGGGGTCACTCACGATGGCCGGAGCACGGCGCAGGGCGTGGCGTTGCCCAGGGGGTCACCGGTCAGCGCGCACACGTAGCGGTCACTCGGCTCTCGGGCCAGCAGCTGCCCCGGGCTCAGGCCGGGCTCGGCCGGAGTGAAGTGGACACTGACCAGCTGGGACAGGCGGAGCTTCCGGCCGGACATCGGGCACCGGACGCTGCGGTCCTGACACAGGGAAAGGACGGAAATGACATCCCAAAATATCCCAAAAATGCCCCAAAATGTCCCAGAATTGTCCCAAAATGTCATCCCAAAATATCCCAAAAATGCCCCAAAAACATCCCAGAATTGTCCCAAAATATCCAAAAATGTCATCCCAAAATATCCCAAAAATGTCCCAAAATATCCCAAAAATGTCCCAAAATATCACCCCAAAGTATCCCAAAAATGCCTCAAAAATGTCCCTGAATTGTCCCAAAATATCCAAAAATGTCATCCCAGAATTGTCCCAAAAATGTCCCAAAATATCATCCCAAAATATCCCAAAAATGTCCCAAAATATCCCAGAATTGTCCCAAAATTGTCCCAAAATATCCCAAAATGTCCCAAAATATCCAAAAATGTCATCTTAAAATATCCTAAAAACGTCCCAAAATGTCATCCCAAAAATGTCCCAAAAATGTCCCAAAATATCCCAAAATGTCATCTCAAAATTGTCCCAAAAGTATCCAAAAATGTCATCCTAAAAATATCCCAAAAATGCCCCAGAATTATCCCAAAATGTCCCAAAACATCATCCCAAAAATATCCCAAAATTATCCCAAAAATGTCATCCCAAAAATGCCCCAAAATGTCCCAAATATATCCAAAAATGTCCCAAAAATGTCCCAAAACCGTTCCAAAAATGCCCCAAAAATGTCCCAAAAACGTTCCAAAAATGTCCCAGAATTATCCCAAAATATCCCAAAAATGTCCCAAAATGTCCCAAAATGTCATCCCAAAATATCCCAAAATTTTTCCCAAAATTGTCCCAAAAATCTCCCAAAATTGTCCCAAAAATCTCCCAAAAAATCCCAAAAATGTCCTAAAAGTATCCAAAAAATATCCCAAAAATATCCCAAAATATTCCGAAACATCATCCCAAAAGTGTCCCAAAATAACCCGAAAATGTCCCAAAAATGTCCCAAAATGTCCCAAAATATCCCAAAATGTCATCCTAAAAATAAACCAAAAATGTCCCAGAATTATCCCAAAAATGTCCCAAAATATCCAAAAATGTCATCCCAAAAATATCCCAAAATTGTCCCAAAATTGTCCCAAAAATGTCTCAAAAATATCCCAAAATTGTCCCAAAA